CCTCCACAATCTCAACAGAAAATGGAGGAAAATCTCTAGCCGCACGTGTCACACTGCCTCACCAACAATGCCGATGTTAGAATTTTGTTCTCCTTCAAACCTGGCGCAGCCAACCGGAAGAGATTGAAGGGTTTGGGCTCTACCCCATTTTACGCGGTCAGTCACCGCTGGCAGCAGAATAGCTCACGCGGCGCATTTCCTGCAGACTCGAGCGTGTCCACCGCCATGTTGCGCCGCTTCGACGACCAAATAACTCACCAAAGAAGTTTACTTTGCCAGCACCCTGTTCTGGCAACATTTTGATAGCTGAAGCACTCTGCAGACTTTTGAGCTCTATGCCTTTATCTTGGCTGCATCCTTTGCGGATCGCTACCTAATCAGAGATTCGGGGCGGACGCCATGCCACATGAGATCAACTTGGCGCTTTTCCAAATCTTTAAACACCGGTACTTGGCTCAGAGAGTTTAATGAACGCCGTGTCTTCTTTTGGTTTAGCGGCCGCTGGGTCCAGGTATGAAAGGTTTTCTGGGCGGTGAACCGCGAAGCCATTTTACGAACAATGGATGCGCTAACACGGGCGTGGCCTTGAGGATGAAACCGCTGCGCCAGGCCGCCGCCCTCCTCCCTCTCGGGTAGCCACGCTATACATGGCTACTACAGCTAGCAGCAGAGGGGGGTAGGGCTGCATGGCTAATCACAGTCCGAGACGCTATATGACGCTGTGATAACGCAATACTAAGTGCACTTGTCAAGGGCCATGGCTCTGCTGAGAGGTGGGAGGAGGAGGGAGAGGTAGGCAGGAGGGAGGCGGGTGGCGCGTGGTCAACTAAAAAAGCATCCGAGCGGACACTCACCGCTTGCTGGGAAAAATCTCGTTAAGTGAAAGTTCAGCTTTGCAAGGCAATCACAGGGCGTAAAAAGCTGCTATGAAAAGTATGGGGTAATACTTGTATATATATATATATATATATATATATATATATATATATATATATATATATATATATATATTAATAAATTAATTTATTATATATTATATATATATATATATATATATATATATATATATATATATATATATATATATATATATATATATATATATATATATATTATATATATATATATATAATATAAACGGTTTATTAATATATATATATATATATATATATATATATATATATATATATATATATATATATACATTAATAAATTATAATATATATATATATATATATATATATATAATAATAATAATAAACTTTATTAATATATATATATATATATATATATATATATATATATATATATATTAATAAACCGTTTATTATTATTATTATATATATATATATATATATATATATATATATATATATATATATATATATATATATATTATAAACCGTTTATTATTATTATATATATATATATATATATAATAATAATAATAATAATAAACATTTATATATATATATATATATATATATATATATATATATATATATAATAATAATAAACCTGTTTATTAATATATATATATATATATATATATTAATAAACTGTTGGTTGTGTACTTATCACAGAAAACGGGAAATTTGTATTATAGAAATGGAAATAATCTACTTTCCGGGAAAGTTGGTTATCTACTTTCCCGAAAAGTAGACTATTCAAAAGTAGATTATTCATTTCGAGTAGATTATCGACTTTTGAGAATTATTACCTAATTTTCAGAAGTAGATTATCATAGAAAACGGGAAATTTGTATCACAGAAAATGGAAATATCTACTTTCTGGGAAAGTTGGTTGTTTACTTATCACGAAAAACGGAAATTTGTATCATAGAAAATGGGAAATAATCTACTTCCGGAAAGTTGGTAATCTACTTTACCAAAAAGTAGA